TGGACGCGAGAAAGTTAAATAAATTAACGGTCAAAGATGCGTATCCTCTCCAAAACATCGATGGTATCCTGAGCCGAATTGACGAGACATATTTTATTAGCAGTGTAGATTTGAAATTCGCCTTCTGGCAAATAGAATTAGATGAAGATAGCAAAGCCTGCACTGCGTTTACAGTTCCTGGACGGCCATTGTACCAGTTCAGGGTGATGCCTTTTGGACTCTGTAACGCAGCGCAGCGCTTATGCAGATTAATGGATAAGGTCATTCCCCAGAAACTCAAGGAAAATGTTTTCATTTACCTCGATGATTTACTCGTCATCTCGAGCGATTTTAATCAACATTTAAAACTGCTAAACGAAGTAGCAATGTGTCTAAAAAGGGCAAATCTTACGATAGGAATGAAAAAGTCTCAATTTTGTTTTAAAGAATTGAAGTATCTTGGTTTCATCATAGGGCAAGGCAGGTTAAAGACAGACCCTGATAAAGTCAAGGCAATAAGGATGATGAAATTACCTCGTAGTCCTCGAGAAGTTCGAAGTTTTCTTGGAACCGCTGGCTGGTACCGTCGGTTCATCAAGGACTTTGCCACATTGTCTGCTCCTTTAACCGATACCCTTAAAAAGAGTAAAAAGTTTGAAATCGGAAAGGCTGCGATGGAATCCTTTGAGACTTTGAAAAAGGCCCTCACATCTGCTCCCGTACTTCGTCACCCAGACTTTTCAAAACCGTTTTATATTCAATGCGACGCATCGGATTATGGCATAGGGGCTGTTCTATATCAATTAGAGGATAAACAAGAAGAGCATCCCATTGCATTTTTCTCCAAAAAACTGAACTCGGGTCAACGCAACTATAGCGTGACTGAGAAAGAATGCCTGGCAGCAGTTATGGCCATAAAGAAGTTCGGACCATACGTGGAAATGATGCCCTTTGTTGTCATCACCGATCACGCGTCATTAAAATGGTTAATGTCGTTAAAAGATTTGAGTGGGCGTTTAGCCCGATGGTCACTGGAACTTCAGGCATATGATTTTGAAATAAGGCATAGGAAAGGGTCAGAAAATATAGTTGCGGATATGTTATCCAGAGCTACTACCGAAGAGAATGTCGACGAATTAAATCTGAGCGATATTCTAGATTTTGAAACGAATGAATTTGAAAGTGAAGAGTATCTGGAGTTGATAAAAACAATTCAACAGAACTCAGAAAAATTACCAGACCTTAAGGTGGAAGACGGTATGATCTTCAAAAAACATTTTCCAAAGTATGAAGCAGATGAAGACTTGATGTGGAAATTATGGATTCCTCGGACTATTACCCACGAAATTTTAGATAGAATCCACAAAGCACCAACATCTTGCCATGGAGGTATCGTAAAAACTCTTGAAAGAATAAGGAGGTTCTTTTACTGGCCTAATATGGCAACCCAAGTTAGGGAATATATTCGGAATTGCCAAGTATGTAAGGAGCTAAAGTCAAGTAACCAGCATCTAATGCCCCAAATCGGAAAAGAGGTTATAACAGAACGCCCTTTTCAGAAAGTGTACATTGACTTCCTCGGAAAATACCCTAGGTCGAAAAAAGGAAATGCATACATATTTATAGTGGTTGATCATTTCTCAAAATTCCTCTTTTTAAAAGCCATGAAAGAAGCTACCACCGTAAATGTTATAAAATTTTTAAGAGAGGAAATTTTTCATAAATTTGGTGTCCCCGAAGTTATACATAGTGACAATGGGGCCCAGTTTATATCAAAAGCGTTTCAAGAGATGATCGAAAACTATAAAATAACCCATCTAAAGACAGCGTTTTACTCCCCGCAATCCAATGCATCGGAACGGGTGAATCAGTCTGTTATCACCGCCATAAGGACATATCTAGAGGAAGACCAAAGAGATTGGGATCTATACCTCTCTGAGATTGAATGTGCTTTACGAAACTCAGTACATTCTGCAACGGGAGTCACTCCATTTTTCGCGCTATTCGGTTTTCATATGTTTTCCAGTGGCCAGGATTATCATCTGGCTAGGAAACTTATGTCAATGACGGAGCACGAAGTGAAGGAGTTGCAGAGTCCTGAGAAATTGGAACTAATAAGAAATAAAATAAAAGAAAATTTGCATAAAGCATACCTGAGAAGTTCAGAAAGGTATAATCGAAGGGCAAGAGTGGTGAAATTTAGACCTGGTCAAGAAGTATATCGTCGGAATATTGTTCATTCTGACTTTTCGAAAAACCTGAATTCGAAATTTTGCAAAAAGTTCGTAAAATGCCGAATTGTGGGACCCGTGGGGGACAATATGTACGAATTAGAGAATTTACAGGGATCTCCGATCGGAATATATCACGTGAAGGATATAAAGTCATAAGTGCAATATAAAGATTTAACTGTGATACTATTAGGGTTTAACATTAATGTTTGTGATGTCCTAATAATATTAAGTTTATCTTTATAGTGCAATATAATGATCTTAACTCTGTGATATATCAAGTACCTGAAATATCTGTCCGTAGTGTCCTTAATTATACATCTGCCTAATTATACCCCCCCGTAATTTTACATCCACTTAATTATACCCCCCACTTAATAATACCTCTACTCAATTATATACCTACGTGATTATACATCTACACTATAGTATATCCACTCACCAGCACTTTTACCCGTTGGTGACAATCCTAAGTCCGGCTCTATGAAGATTAAACATCACGTCATCGGGACCTGAAAACAAAACAAAATCACATAAAGTACCAAAACCTAATGACACTATTGAAAATAAATACTTCCCTAATCTGAATGCCCGGCTCAGTCCGTAGAGCATGAAACTCAATCTCAGGGTGTGAGAGTTCCCCACGTTGGGATATAAACACACCAACCAATAAGTCATACAGTCCCACGCACACCACCACTGTCTTCATGCTTAGTCAGTGGTGGAGTTTTGTTGCGGGGCCCTTCTCGAAAAACCCTAAGTCCGTCCATGAACGCAAAAAAAAAATTTTGCTGTGGACAATAAATATCGTATGGGAACAGTAAGCTCAGACTACAGCCTTTTGTTATTTGTGTCCCAAAAAAAAAATAAATAAGAAGAAAGATCCCAGCGAACCATTCCTTGATGACTAAAGATCCCAAAAATTGTGGTCATTATAAAAAGACCTAAAAATATCAAAAATCCAAAAAAAAAAAAAAAAAAAAAAACTGAATTTGACACATATATAATTGATAATTTCTATTTATTAGTATTTATTATTATTTATTATTATTAACTGATCTAATTATTATTTTTAAGTTTTTATGTTATTATAATCTATTTTCTTTTGTTTGCAAATGTTTGTGTTTTGGGATCCTTGAATTATCATTTTTTTTTATAACTTCCAAAAAAAATAGATTTCCAGTTTAACGTTGACAAGTTATTAACCCCCAATTATTCCCCAAAAGAGCTCTTTAGAGGATAGGAGGATTTCTGATCGAAACATAACATAGGCAATCTATTTAGGAATTTATTCTCATGCTACTTTGAATGATCACCTATGATTGTGATATAATTTACCCAAAAACCAAACATATATTGATGTATTGGTCACAAGACCTATCGTTTTGAATTTTTTTACTGGCGATTCGCCTTTGAATTTGATATATGAAAGAAAAACTCCGTGTATTCTTAATTGATTTTTTTATGTAAAAGATTTTATTTATTTTGTTCAACCCATGTTAGACCTTTTTTTTTTGTTAAACGTATTTTTTATTTAAATTTCTTTTGTGTTAAAATTAGTATAATTAGTATTAGTGAATATGATTTAAATATAAGGATTTTTGATCGAAATGATGAGGTGTTAGTAATTTAAAAATGGAGGATTGAAGACGAGGTAAGTGATGTGATGTGGGCGGGTTGTGGGATCACATAAGGAAAGACAAGGAAGATTGTGATCAAGGTTGGGTGGGCAGAATATTGGCCATCAGGTGTTGGTTTCCATAATGCAGTGAAGTATTTGGTTGTAAGTGTTTTTGAATGTTTGCTAGAGGAAAAAAAAACTTGTTGCGTGCCTCATTTAGGACAGAAGGGTTGGGACTACACCCTGGAGAAAAAGACGGCTCAGTTAGTCGGAGTCATTATGCATCTGTCCGCCGTCCAAACAGAGGTGCACGTAACATGTATGGATGTACGGTATCTTGGTGTAGAAGGAAACAACAGACTGTAGCAACTTCATCATCTGAGGCGGAATATGTGGCTCTTAGTATGACTATAAGAGAAGCTGTGTGGATAAGGGGAATTATACAAGATCTCATGGAAATAGATGAAAAATAAAAAATAAATGTATACGAAGATAATAACTGATGTATTGGTATTTAGAAAGAAAACGTGAGAAGCACATCGAGGTAAAACTCTATTTAATAAGGGATCATATTATGAATGGAACAATGTTAATGGTGGTTAGAAAGATTTTAACGATGTCCATATCAGAATTGTTTGACATCGACACCAATTATTCGGTTTAGCAACATCAAACTATAACAGCGACGACGGTCACATTGTCGAATAAGACTTTGGGATATCGTATCTTAAAAGGCATGAAATTTAACTGATAAATTTGGGAATGCTAATTTTTGTTTCATCGATTCCATTTATCGTTGGCATTCTACTCTCGATGATCTATATATTATATTTTAAATGTAATAATAATCTATCTATATACCTTCCGATAAATTGCGGATAAACCCCCTCATAAAATCATATGTTCATATATGGCAACACATACGTTTATATTTTACTTTATTTCCGATAATTTGTACTAAAACTGAACAATTTATCTAATTTATAATTCTATATGACACTTTTTTGGAAAAACAAATACAGTACAAATGCATACGACACCTTAAATAATCTTAGTTTATGTGGTTACATCATTTTGCGCATAACGTCAAAAGTGAGGTTATGCGATTCATCAAAGATTCAAGTGAAATAAATTAAAAATATTAACCCAGTTGTTTACAAGCGCTATTTCTATTGTTCCTTCGCTTTCTTGGCAATGTTGCGTAGGGCACGTTGACGGGTTTGTAGCAGATTCTTAAAAACTATTTGACTAGCGAATTGTTCACAGGTTATATAGCCAATGCCATTGATTGCATTTTGCAATAGAGTGTGTGGCAGATAGCCGGCTGTGCGTTCGGCAATACCCAATGTGTTCAAGGCGGATTTAACATAAGTATCGGCTGAGGGAGCAAATGCTGAAGTTTTCCTAATTTTTGTCATATTTGTGGCCACGAAGCCTGGTTGAATACTTTGTACAACAATGCCACGTGTACGGTATTCTGTTTGTAAGTCGGCACTGAATTTATCGACAAAGGCCTGTAAAAAATAAAAATTATTAGATTGGAATGAGGGGAAATTTTTCAAATAAAAAAATTCTTCCTAATTACCTTTGTGGCACTATAAACCGTGAGCAATGGATTTGGTATAACACCAGCCGTTGATGATATATTGATAATGACACCCTTTTTCTTTTCCACCATGGCGGGTAAAATCAAAGCGGTCATATGTGTTACCGAATGTACATTGGCGGCAATGATGTCCAACAAAAATTTGGGATTCTTTTGACTAAGTTCAACAAAGAATTCGGGATGATCATAGCTCATGCCGACATTATTCACTAAGACACCAATATCAAGCCCTTGAATATTTGTCTTGATTTTTTCATAAATTTCTGGACCCGAAGTGAAATTGACATCGATAATTTTGGTTTCAACACTGTATGCTTCAGCTAGGAGGAAGAGGATAATAAATATTTGAGGTTATAATTGTTTGTAAAATATTCGTTTGTTATACTTACCGATCTCCTTGGCAACAGCTTCTAATTTGCTGGGAGTACGACTGATTAGCACAATATTAAGACCCTTTTTGGCCAACTGAAATTTAAGAAAGAAATATAAAAATTATTTAAAAAATTACGAAAAACGATTTAAATTCTATACGCTCTATTTATATTTGGAAAATATACATAGATTCTAGTTATTGAGAACCAATACATCCACAACTACCTATATCATTTGATTTTTGGTTCTTATTTGTCGTATTCAACTGCCATCCATATCTGTTGTCAACCAATGATTGGCTCCCAGGTAACAGGCTCCATTTGAATATAGTTGGAATCTTGACAGAAAATCAGAAGAACGCATAAAGGGGACTTGGTCACCCCATTATTAGGAAGTAACAGTTAATGGGAAGGACACCAGGAACCTATGCAACTGATAAATATTGGGCGCTACTTTCCATGATCCATTAAGATATCACTTGAGTAATGACACCATCTAGAACCTCAAAGAGTATGTCGTGGAAAAAATTGCAAAGCAAAAATCTCCGAAATTCCCAATTTCAACGACAGTCGATTTCGCTGAATAGTTAAGAACCCCAAGTAACCAATAGAGTAACGAAGATAACTATAGATACAAACTTAGCGAAGTATCAAACAAACAATCTCCAACAATGCACACGGAAAATTTAGATTAGAAAAATTCGATTCATATCGAGATTTCTGTCAAGGCAGACGAAAAATGTAATATCTTTTTCCCTGCAACCTTTCCTAGGCAATTGTTGGGTGGAGAGCAGCGTCTACTAAGGGGTCAAATACCTTCCATCAAGTGGTCGTACCTTCCATCAAACTGCAACCGCTGATCACAATGAATACCTCTTCAAAACCTATATACAGGTCAGCAGAACATCAATTTCAGAGTCTGTGACTTTCAATGAGATCACAAATTTCACACTTTATACCCTTCACAACACTGTGGTACAGGGTTTATGGCTTTGTGCATATGTTTGTAAAGGCACAAGAAAACGAGATAGACCCATGGGCCTTTTGAGAATAATCATAGAATCACTTTTTAAGTCGATTTATGCATGTCCGTCCGTCTGTCCATGTTAAATTGTAAACAAAGTACAGGTCGGATATTTGATTCGAATTGGATGAAAATTGGCACAGATGATTTATTTGACCCAATGACGAACCCTATTGCAATTGGGGAAAATCGGTTCGGATTTAGATATAGCTCCCATATATATTTTCGTCCGATTTTAGGTAAATAGTGCACCAAAATCCCTTTATATCCTTCGATTTGCACGAAATTTGGCATAGCGTACTGAATTAAGTCTAGAACGATGTGCGCTAAGTTTCGCGAAAATCGGTTCGGATTTAGATATAGCTCCTATATATTTTCGTCCTTCGATTTGCACGAAATTTGGCATAGCGTACTGAATTGAGTCTAGATTGATGCTATATCAGATTTCGATACATTACATAAATGGTGCACCAAACTCCTAATGTTTGTCAGATAAACACGAAATTTTGCACAACGTATCAAATTGAGACTTGAATGACGTTATTGCGTTTTGTTGATATGCAGATGCAGCTATAGCTTCCATATGTATTTCGAACGGGTGTCTAATTGAAATTAAATTTTTTACAGTGTGGCGTAGCGAATAGCGTGTATCAATTTTGCTATAAATCGTTGTCCATAAATTTGTCCCATGGTACGCAGACGACTCTAAATCTGCCCGAATGAAATTAAATTTATTATAGGTTGCAGAAAAACATGAGTATGTTCCTTCGAGGGAATATTCCTTGAGGGAATGGGACAGAGGAACTTCTACAGCTTCTCAATTAGAGTGTGTAAGAGATATTCATATGAATTTTTTACACAACATGAGGTCTATTATTGCGAACAATCGTGCATCATTAACTCGAAGATCACATTTTTTGAGTTATGCAACTCTTGCAGCAAATGAGTGATATGCATAATATATCCAAAGTGGTGAAGGGTATCATATAGTCAGCCCAGTCCGACTTTACTACTTTCCTTGCTGGCAAAAATGGTAGCAAAGTGGCGCCCGACAACAATGGTGACTTCAGTAAAGGTTATTCGTTATATCGAATTGAAAACAAGACATGGTGCGGTACCGGTATAAATGACTTCTTCAATACCAATCATGATAGGAGTAGTAAGAATATCTTTAGTTTGTTGAGTCTTATCTTTTAACGTGGGGAACATTGATTTTGGATTGGGTCGCAATAAATTCTGCATGAGTTATAGGGTTCAAAGTGTAAGGACTAAGTATTGTTGCAGATTATCTTGATTCATTGCAAGGCTACAGCTACAGTAAACTTCCTTAGTAGACACTCCTTCTGAAACATTTTAAAATTTTTGTCCTAAAACTGTATTTCTGAACCCCAAGAAAACGAAAATTCGATGTTCTTATGTTACCAGCGATCCGACCTCAATGAGAAGTTCGTTCCGTTGGCGCCTGACTTCATAAAAACAACAAACTGGGATTCAGCCTCGCTATTTTGCAAAAACAAAAATTATTAATAGATTTTTTTTTCAATCGCTAACCAAGGCATTTCCATTGTTGAAATTTTTTTTTAATTTTTTAATTGCAAATATTTTTTGGTGCAAATTAATAATTTTGTATGTATACTAACAAACATCAGCTGATAGACACTTAGATTATGATTAAAGTATGTGTAAACAATTAAGGGCTAAGCAGAATGCTCGCGTTGAGCGTTTGAGCAGCGCACATCAACTTCGAGCGTTTGTGTTATCGTTTCCTTGTGGTTGTTGTATTTTCGATAACACATAACGCAACGGATGACTCAACGCGAGCATTCTGCTTAGCCCTTTAGGGTGTATTTCTGGATTTCGTTAATCAAGCCGATTTAAAATCGTATATGTAAATGTACTTTAACTCTATCTCGATTTAGGAGGCATAGTCTAAAAGCGTCCTTAGTTTTGTTCCGATTTCTCCCAAAAACGACAAAAAAATGTGAATTCTGTTTAATATTTATTGCTGTCTTAATTGCATCACCTTTGCAATTCATTGCCCTCCATATTCCACTAACAAACTAAAATATCGAAAACTCATCTAATGTATGAAGTATTGGGTCAAAATCTCTATTGATTTTTTTCCATTTAATTGAAAAATAAACACATGTGGCAAATCATAATAATGCAAAAATTATTTAACATTTTTTTTTTTGTTTAATTTTGTTAAACAAATAAGGAGAGAGAAAAAAACTAATGATGTCTATAACCCTGTAAATAAATCATTAATAATTTTCAGATTTTTTTCTAGATGGGCAGTACTTGACAATGACTCTTCGTTGGATTTTCATGAATTGACACAAAATTTTCAATGCATCTGGATTTGAAGTGTAATGCGATGATGCAACAGCTGCACTTGAAATCACAGCCGATATTTGTACAACTAATCGATGTAAATGTTTATTTTATAAATCAGTTAGATGTGCTAACACCTATTGTGTTTTATTCAAATGTTCTGTAAATAGATAGATTTAGTTTTGCAAACTAAACATTTGGTTGGTTTCCGTGATATAGGTTAGGTCGACAAAAAATCTGAAGAAAAATAGGCTCTTAATTGTTGTAATATTCATAGGGACTTCATAGAGAATCACAGGGCCTTTATTGTGGAAGATCTTAGGTTCTTCATGAAAAAATCTTATTGGGGGTTCTTTTTAAAAAACTAAAAACTGAGTCTTCATTATTGGAGATCAAAGGGTATTTATTACAGAAGACCATAGGGTCATTATAGAAGTCAATGGGTCTCCATTATAAAAGCCAATTGGGTCTCCATTATAAACGACCAGAGGATCATAATTCGGAATACCAAAGGGTCTTCATTATAGAAGACCAATGGGAGATCAAATAAAGAATCAGTTAGGGAAATAGCGTCAGGTCCTTAAATATACCGAAACGTTACGTCAATTTAAGATGGTGACTTTGGACCAATATAGACATTTTTTGCGAAACCTTTATATGCCATATATATCATGGTAAATTGCTGCCCACAACTCTAAAAATACAAACTCTGACTGGAAAATCGGACAGGACCTTTAACATACAGGCTTTAGAAGAAACCATCAGTCCTGTGATCCTGAAATATATTCTGTAGAAAACATGATTTTTTTTAAATAAAAAACTTCACTCTGGTTGTACTGAAATTGCTTCTATAGAAAGTAACCATCAGCCTCGTTTTCCTGCATTTTTTCTATAATAAAAATCATTACTGAAATTGCTTCTATAGAAAGTAACCATCAGCCTCGTTTTCCTGCATTTTTCTATAATAAAAATCATTAGTCCTGTTGTACTGGAAATGTTTCAAAAGAAAAAACGACCTGACCATTGTCCTGAAAATTTTTCAGTCCTCTAGTATTAAAATTTTTTCTATAGAAAAAAACCATAAAACTTTTTCTACGGAAAAAACATCAATCCAGTTATTCTGAATTTTTCTATAGAAAAATATTCAGTCCCGTTGTCCTGAAATTGTTTCTGTAGAAAAAACATCAGCCCTATTATCATTAGAAATGTCCATCAGTCCTGTTGTCCTGAAATTGTTGCAATAGAAAAAAAACATCAGTCCTGTTGTTTTGATTTTTTTATATAAAAAACCATAAAAAACATCTCTTCTTTTGACTTAAACTTTTTCTAGAGAAAAATACTACCAGTCTCTTTCCTGAACATTTTTCTATAGAAAAAAACATCAATCCTGTTGTCTTGAATTGTTTTCTATAGAAAAAAACCTGTCCTGTCGCGCTGATTTTTTTCTATAGAAACCAGTAAGGAAAGTAGTAAAGTCGGACTGGGATACCCTCTACCACTTTGGGTATGTTTTACATATGTATACTTACAATTTAAATTTAATTTCATTCGGGCAGATTTAGAGTCGTCTGCGTACCATGGGGCAAATTTATGGAAAACGATATATGGCCAAATTGATACACGCTATTCGGTACGCTGCACAAATTTCAACAAAAGGCAATAACGCCATTCAAGTCTCAACTTGATACGTTGTGCAAAATTTCGTGTTAATCGGACCAACATTAGGAGTTTGGTGCACCATTTAAGTAAAATCGGACGAATATATATGTATATGTGGAAGCTATATCGAAATCTGAACCGATTTTTCCACAACTTACCACGCATCATTTTAGACTTAATTCAGTACGCTATGCCAAATTTCGTGCAAATCGAAGGATATATAGGGACTTTGGTAAATCATTGACATGAAATCGGGCGAAAATATATAGGGGAGCTATATCTAAATCTGAACCGACTTTCACAAAGTTTAACACACATCGTTCTAGAATTAATTCAGTACGCTATCCCAAATTTCGTGCAAATCGAAGGATAGAAAGGTACTTTGGTGCACCATTTAAACTAAATCGGACGAAAATATATATGGGAGCTATATCTAAATCTGCAATATGCTCTCTTTATATAAAAACAAAATGTAATGTATAGTATACTAATTTCAAAACAAAACTATAAAATTCGTGAATGCATTCCAAATTATCGCATCTGGTAAATTGACGAAAGTAATGATTGAGCAATTTGGGAGCAATGCTTGTTTTACATCTCATACACACACCGATTATTGACAATTTAAATAAAATTTCGATTCAAATTTAGCATTTCCCTCTTCGAAGACATGCAACCATAGGTCAATGCAATTGACGTAAACGTCAACGTATTCATAATTTCCGTTCCAAGCGTTATTTTGTTTTAAACGATTCGAAAATTTTTAATTATAAATTCCCTGAGCCAAAATGCCAGCTTTTGGATTGTGCAAAAGCCAATTGAACTATGAATTTTGTAGTCAAAGGGTTTCAATGGTTTATTTTTTCTGATATCGATATTTGAATATGGTGGTGCCATGTGCGGTGTGTACGTACATGCAGACCGACAATGTTCGTCGTACCCCAGCTCAGTGTACGTGTTGAAAATAATGATGAGTTAGCGGAATAGCCAATAACACCAACAGGTACGCACCATTTTTTTGTTAAATTCTTTATTTTAATTTATTACATTTTGTATTTCTTTTTTGAATAAATAATTTTGTTATAAATGTTAACCAAGAATTGTGTTAATTAAACGAATGAAAGAAGAAGAGTATTATGGGTCAAGGGAATTTGGAGAATTTTGTTTTAATTGTTTAGAATTTTTTAAAAATGAACAAGGTGTTATTTTAAATAATGAAAAGGGCTGTGTAGGATTTTAGAAAAATCACTCTCAAAATTACACCTTAGAGAATTTTTATTTATTGGGGTTATTATATAGAAAATCATACACCTATCCATTTATACCTATTATCTATCATATAAGTTTTTTAAATCCTTTAAGGAGTTTTTATACCCTACACAACTATGTTGTCAGGGTATTATAGCTTTGTGCAGCCCCAAGAGTTTGTAACGCCGCGAAATATTGGTCCTAGACCCACCTTTAATTATACCGATCATCATATCTCGACTAGCTGAGTTGATCTACACATGTGTGTCCGTCCGCCAGTCTGTCCATTATAATTTGTAAACATGATAATAAGCATGCCTGTTTTGATAAAGATCGATCAATGTTTAGCGGGTCCAATGGACCCTGACTTTTGTGTGAAAAATCACAAAATTTGTATTCTATGGCGAAGGACAACGACCTGAGAAGATGATAGTATATCCAAGAGGAGTGGTTGACCTTTAAATTGATACCAATTATATTGTTGTATGTACTCGGATGTGGGAGTTACACTTAAATGTTTACGGGTGCTTACGCATTAACCCAGATTGAGATAGTAACCCATTACCACACTGATCGCTTTGAAAAGTTTCATGAGGTTCCAGTTATGATCAAAATACGTGAACATGGGTGCCAAGGAGGATGTGCTGTGTGAAAATTTCACCTCAAATTGCCACAATTTTGAAAAATCCAAAATGTAATAAAATTTGAAATCTGTTCCTGATTATATTTTATTATTATATATATATATAATAGTAAATTTTTTTCTCTGGACTCTGAAAATAACCAGATGCCAGGATAAATTCAATTTTATAAGACATAGGCTGAGGATATAATTTTAAGTCCCATATTTAGTTTCACCAATGTATATGTTGTAATCCCGAATATATTAGGTTGATGCCAAATTTTCCATCCGATTTTGTTCGAATTTTCACTCCTGTTTCGTTGTGCTAAAATTTCGCATTCCGAGTATTTAGAGGGTACAAATTGTCTTCGAAGAAAGTGTTCTATAAGGACCCAGTCCAATTTTGTTTGAATTTTCTCTCCTGTTTTGTTGTGGATAACAGGGGCTAATATTTCGCATTCGAGGTTCTTAGAGGGTATAAATTGTATTATAAAAAATTGTTCTATAAGGATCCAGTACAATTTTAGGTATCCCTGGTTCATGCTGGGTAAAAAATTGTCTTCGCAGAAAATTATCAATATACAAAGCCCCATATGACAAAGCCCCATATAATGGGTTCCAAATAGAACCCTGAGTAAAAGACGCAATTATAGAAAATGCTTATTAAAGGTCCGAAATGGTAGCAGACCGGGTCGATTTACAAATGTCCGTCTGTCTGTTTGGCCGGCTAGTGCGCACGATAACTCTCGAAAAATACTCTAACCAATGATAATCCTAAATATAAAAAAATTAAGCTTATCTTTTTGAAAAATAAAGTCGGATTGCACCGACTATATGATACCCTTCACCATTTTGGGTATATTGTACATATGTATCCTTACAATTGCATGCCAATGTTCCCTCGAAGGAACATACTCATGTCTTGCTGCAACTTATGATAAATTTAATTTCATTCGAGCAGATTTAGAGTCGTCTGCGTACCATGGGACAAATTTATGGAAAACGATTTTTAGCAAAATTGATACAGGCTATTCGCTACGCCGCACTGTTAAAAATTTAAATTCAATCAGACACCCGTTCGAAATACATATGCAACAATATCAACAAATCACAATAACGTCATTCTAGTCACAATTTGATATGTTGTGCAAAATTTCGTGTTATTAGGACAAACATCAGGAGTTTGGTGCACCATTTATGTAAAATGGTTATATATGTATAGGTGGAAGTTATATCGAATTCTGAACCGATTTTTCCGAAACTTACCACATATCATTCTAGACTCAATTCAGTACGCTATACCAAATTTCGTGCAAATCGATGGATATATAGGGAATGCACTATTTACATAAAATCGGACGAAAATATATATGGGAGCTATAATTAAATTCGAACCGATTTTTAAACAAATTAATTCAAAATGTTCAAGACTTAATTCAGTAAGCTATGCCAAATTTCGTTCAAATCGAAGTATATATAGGGACTTTCGTGCACTATTTACCTAAAATCAGACGAAAAAATATATATAGGAGCTATATCTAATTTATTACGCTATGGCCAATTTCGTGCAAATCGAAAGATATATAGGTACTTTGGTGCACCATTTACATTAACGGACGAAAATATATATGGGGGCTATATCTAAATCTGAACTGATTTTTCCCAATTGCAATAGGGTTCGTCCTTGGGCTAAATAAATGTGCCAAATGTCATCCAATTCGAATCAAAAATGCGACCTGTACTTTGTTTGCAATTTAACATGGACAGACAGACGGACGGATGGATGGACATGCATAAATCGACTTAAAAAGTGATTCTATGGATATTCTCAAAAGGAACCATGTGTCTATCTCGTTTGCTTTTGCCTGTTACAAACATACGCACAAAGACATAATACCCTGTACCACAGTTTGGTGAAGGGTATAAATACCAAATTACAGCTAATTTGAGTCAAAGCTAAAATGAGTCAAAGCTCCATAAAATATCGAATTTCGGTGTACCGTTATATGGGAGCTATACCATTTTCAATTCAAAACATCCTATAGGAGTAGTAGAAATGTATATGCAAAATTTTAAAGCTCAAACTTAAATATTGCAAGCTCTATCGTGATTTCAACAGACGAATGGATATATGCAGATATACAGATATATGCAGAATATATGATTTTGGGGCACAGGTGTTCCAAATGGTATGACAAAGGTGTTCCAAATGGTATGACTGAACCTTATGAGCTTGCACAAATTGACGAGGAGTTACAAAACTTCCAAAGGGCGTATAAACGGTCCGGGCAGCAAATTCAGTATTTTGCCATTCCCTGCATTGGAAAATAATTATTCCTAAGGGTTTATTTTTTATAAATGCTCCCATTAAATATGCCGCCGAGTTCATAACGATACATTTTGTCTGATATTATAGGATGACAATTTGTGTTATCGATCGGTAAGCCCAAAGGTCTATGTGACCATTCTCCTTTATTCTTTTACAATAAAAAAGCCAACTTAACATGCCAATCCTGAAGCCTTCTTCTGGGTTTCCGCATAATTTTTGTTTTAAATTTTCGAAATTTTCTTCCTATTGGAGTATTCCGATTTTATATTATAATGTAGGTTCTGCATTTTTTAGGGTAATGGGTTGACCACTTCTATTCTAGTTTTCTTCATATCACAAAGTCTGTTGTCACCATCAAACATTGAACGTGAAATGAATCACTAATAGCACAATTTTCGCCATTTTCATTCAATCACTTACCGCTTTTGCATAGGCTTTGCCAATACCATCGGTGGCACCGGTAACCACTATAAAACAAATGGAGAAAATAAAATTTAATTACAACAATTTATTTTTTCCTGGTCACTATGAATTCCATTTGTGGAGTCTAACAACAAACATAATCACCTTAATCTTATCAAAAAATAATAATTTTGTCGAAAGATATGTATGTATGTACATATGTTTGTCGAACTACTGATAAAAATGCAATTTCGATACAACTAAAGGTGAGTTATGTTTGTGTTATCTTCCTCCGTAAAAAATATGTCTTGTAAAACCAAATCGCTTACCAGCCCATGATCCCATACGCCGTACATCGACCTTAGGTCCAAGAAATTTCGGTGCAATTATATTAATATACAGCCATGGCAGGAATTTTGTAACAAGTTGATATCCAACAATGGATACGGCAGCCGTGCCGACAATACGCATACACTTCGTATCGAAGTCCATAATGAGTTTATTGGCAACTTTTTTGGTCGATTGAATTTTGTCGATTTATTTAATTCTTCCGTGCGTTATTTTATTCAATTTTAGTTTTCTTTATGTATGTTTTAGTTTGTGCCGCTGCTATTAACTAACTAATGTCACTTGAAAAAAATTAAATTTTCTGTGTTCATCGATTTCCGTGAGTGAATGAGCGTTCAAGTGACGAGTGATGTTCCACAATTGCACGTTGTTCTATGTGTAGGTCTGACTTTCAATTGAAATAAACAACTCGGAATTTCTTATTTTATTTGAGTAGTTTTTTATTTCTATTCAATATTCAGAACTCATACGCCAAATATGCATGTGGTGGGTCGGTTGGTTGTTTGGGTATATGGCGGTTGATAAGGAGGCAAACAATCAGTGTGTACTCTCCCCCTTAATGTGTGAACGATGTTGCTGTGCCGTGCTCCCATATACATTCTCACATGGCCGTGCCTGAGTATAAAATTCTCAACCGGCATAATTTCGGCATGTTCGTTCCTCCATTCTCTTCGTCTCATTGTAGTTTTTGCTGTGTGTGCAAATGTTTTCCTCTTGTTCTTCTCATTTTCAAAATAGAAAAAAGGGTGTGCGCATTACAATTTGCCTCTCAAGAGTTCTCCCCCAGCAATACCGTTATGCGCTCACACATTGATATCACTATATATGTGTATGTATTTAACCCCCTATTTTTATGTAAGTATGTGGGGTGGATATTTGTTTTCCTTGTTTTGATTTTTTTAACGTCCGATTTGGTATTAAGCACAGAGTGGCATGTCGTTAGGGGTTGTTGGTATGGTAGTTTATTCGATAAATATTAAAGCATACTTTTAGGCCGATACTTGAAGCACCGAATATTTTTTCATTTTTGTTGAGAGTGTAACCGAATCTTTCTGATGGATGATGAGTGATTTTATTTTTGATTGCGGGCATGATAACTCCTCACATCGGAATCCGGAAATTCCAAGGGGTGTTAGAAAGAGTACATATCTGGCTCTCGTATGACTTCGCTCAAAAATTAAAAAATGAAATGCATTTTAGCCTATTTTTTACCACAAACTAAGTTAAAAGATAAGGAAGTTCTTCGCCGATTGCCTTTATCCTAGTTCATACGATAGCTATACATTCCCAGAGAAACGTGTCAAAATTTGGAACCGATTGGATTATTATTTTTTGAGTTATAGTGCCCGCCATTCGTAAAAACATTGCTTTGAGAAAAATGGGTTTAAAGTTTGAGAATGACTCTTGCCGTCACTTGATGGGTATATAAGACGCGACATTTTCTGTATTTTCAAGGTCCTAACCCAATTTTCCAACCTACGCGTCTGTATTTTGGTACTTTGATTTCTTCAAAACCTAAATTTACAATGTCCCCATCTTTGATTTAGGTATTTTAAATGTCAATCTCAATATAGAGGGTATACACTTTTTGGTATGTCCGAACTTAACGTCGTTTTCCAAATAGCATATTCCAATCGCATCCAGGGATCCTGGATGGTCAAACGTCGTTAACAATAAAAATATATCAATTCAGGTTTCATTTGGCTTCCATTCACATTTATAAATCATTCCGTGTATAGAGACTATAGGTGTCACAAGTACGAAAACGTATCCATCATATCAAAGTGGAACAATTCCCATATCTGAATAAAATATGGAACACATATCCCTTTAAAATAAAATAGGTAAACTTATTTACTAATTTATTTTTTTTTTATTTGCATAACACATATACAAGCAAAGTAAATCTCTATTCGAGGACGTATTAATAATTTCTATTAAAACAACTACAAGCTGCTGCAGGCAACAATTAGAAATTGAATTTCTACATAAAAGGCCAATGAGATGCTTTTTCGCCAGTAATAACTTATTTCAACATATTTATTTAGGCATCACCTATTAAGGCGCACAAGGCTCGTTTATAATCACCAGATACTTCGGACTGAAAAAAGGAATAAATTTCAATTATTTACAATGTATTTTTTTAATATCCCACTTCATAATTACCTTAATGGCACTAACTAAAGTGCGATTATAGATCCGCTCAAATTCATCTTTAATATTATTCAAATCTATTTCAGATCGCGAAATAATAATACGTATTAGAGTTGTGTCTTCAGTTCCAGCACCGGACATGGCGTTGTACAGGCGATTGGCAAAGAAGGCAGCTGGCGATTGAACACATTCAACTGAAAAAAAAAACAGAATGACTATTTATGAAATTCGGAACCAGAGAGGCATTTTAATACCACATTTAGCTTAATAGGACCATTAAAGGTTTATGCTATTAAAAAATAAATGTTTTTTTTTTCAGATTCTGATGATCGATTTGAGGACAAATATATAAAAACGAAATTAAATTCTCAAATATATTTTCTATGTCCTTTTGGGGAGATTCTATAATTCACTGTAGGAAAGTACCCCAAATGAACATTTCTAGCGGCTATGCCAAAACATGGACGCAGGAACAATATTATCATCTATGAAGTACTCGAATATTCCCTGCAAAGTGCCAAAATAAGTGCCGGAACTGCGTTTTGTTATTGTTTTTATTCTCCAAGGACCCGAAAAATAAAATTAGTGCAATCTAATTACTTAAATATTGCGATACCCTGTATAAAATATGGACTATATTAAAAAAAATATTTTCTGCATAGCTATCTTTCGCCCCTATTCATGATATTTGGAAGAAATATTTGCCAAATAATCAAAAAATTGGTAATATAACATTAGAGCTATAACTAATTGTGCATCGATATATACCATTTTCAATACAAAAAATATGGACTATATTAAAAAAATATTTTCTGCATAGCTATCTTTCGCCGGTTTTCATGATATTTGGAAGAAATATTTGCCAAATAACCAAAAAATTGGGGTATTCTTATATTAGAGCTATAACTAATTGATCATCGATACATACCATTTTCAATACAAAACATCCTTGGAATATAACAATTATTCCAAATTCTGATATGAATAAAATGTAATATTTGGGATAGATCTATTCCTAAATATTACGAACATGTTATTCTTATCAAGAATATTACCCAAATATTGTCGTAAGGAAATAAAAAATACTTCCGAATATGTCTGATATGATAAATAGAATAAAAAAAGTCTGAAAACTATCAATACTAGTCAATTGTTATAAAAACCATGACCACTTTCGATTAATATAACCCTCAACCTAAATGGTAAAGCTAGGACATTTATTTGGAAAACCCTAGAATTGTATACTGTGTTATGAATCCTAATAGTTCAATCATCAACATGATAAAAAAAATGCTTACCAATAGCCATCATAGCTTCATGCATTTCACCACTCATTTCATGTTTAATAGCCTGTTCCAGTGTCTGGCCCGATAATTCTTTATATTCCTCGAAAACAGAACGCAGTTGGGCAAAGCTACCGTGAGCTAAAATACGATTGAACACTTCTTCATCGGTACCCAATTTAGATTCACCAGCATTATACAACTGTTCAGCTTCTTCCTTGGCCCTTTCAGGATCCACTGTACCCACTGGATCTCTCACACCGGTAATAATCAATGTCAATAAACGACGAAAATGTCCATCTGTTTCACTACACAAATGTTCAGCCAGCGGACGGTCATACATGTCTTCGTAACATTTAACAATTTCCGCCATTTCTTCATTGGATTTGGTGCATAGAATTTCCACTAAGGTACTTTCATCGGTACCCATACCTTCCATAGCTTTATGTAATTGTTTGCATAAGTACTCAACCGGAGGCATCATAAGGCCCACAATGACATCTTCAAATTTACCACCCAATTCACTTTTTAAATCTTCAATCAAATCACGACCATATTCACGTAAAAATTGTTCTTTTATCAGTTGGCGTTGGGCATTCGACCGGGCGGTGAGAATATCAATGATGGCCTCTTCATCGGTACCAAGCCCTTTCATGGCACTACGTAATGCGGCAGCATCGGCTTCGACATCAAAAGGATTGGCTGGGACCACAGAAGGAATTGGCTAAAAGGGAAAAAATACAAAACATAAGAAAATATCTATTTCGTGTATTTTGATATTTAAACTCACTGTGTAATCCATGATTCAGAGTATTTCTTCGTAATTGTTTTAATAAATTACGCTTGAATGACGTAGTGCTATGTATGTATAAATAATTGTACTTTCTGTTTTTGTTTGCTTGTCGACTGACTTATACGTCGCCCCTTAAATTCTTTTGGGTTGGATACGTGTGTGTCGCGTTGTTGTTTATGCTTGCTACACCTCTCGGCTACTACTTCCGAAACGCCTGTATGTTGGTATGTCAACAATACAACTAACGAATAAAGCACGAGAGAGTTGAATTAATTAATATTTTTTTCCAGAAATTTGTTTTGTTCTACTCTTCGTTTGGAATGTGTAAAAGTACCATATCGACGGAATTGTTATAGAGGAGCTGACATCACAACAGCCGTTAATTTTTTGTCAATGCATTATGTTGAATCGTGAAACACTTTGCAATATTTTTTATCATCGATTGTGAATTCAGTTTCGACAATATTCTGAATTGAATATTTATCAGCAATTTTGTGTCTCCTGGAAAATGGGGCATTTCATTTGCAACAATTTGAATTATTTGTATACCCTATATAGTTTAAGTATAAATATTCTTGAACTAGGTTGCCTTTTCTATGCTCGACTCAAAAGAGAAAAAACTGAATTATACGATGATAATCGCCTTTACAGGCAGAAATTCAGATATAAAATTATTCTTTATCTGCGATAGAGCATGCGATATTTAAAATAGAACATTGAAGTGTTACACATACATTGCCACTACTTCTATGATGTTTAGTATTGAAAATGAGACATATTAATAACCTTTTTGATATAGCCCCAAATATATCGGGGTTTCTACCGAAGGGGATATAATTTGACATTCAGAGACCTTGAAATTCTTAATATCTCCTTTTATGGGTACGTTTATGCTCTATGGTGTTTTACAACCGATTTGCCATGCCAGATTCTAAGTTGGGACAAAACTTCATTGGAAAAAATATTTAATATAGGTCCGTAATTGTTTTTTTCAACCTTCAAAAACAATTTCCAGCCTTTTCCAATTCCACTTACCAGATGAATCCTGAAATCGCGTACATAATCCTTTATATCAAATAATAGAAAATCATCTAAAATTTAATAATTTATTTTTATTTGCGTAACACACATTCATATAAAATTAATCTCTTTTTAAGGACGCATTCATTTTTTTAACAATTACAGCTGCTACCAACAACAATTAAAAATTCAATTTCCACATTAAAGGCCAATGAGACACGTTTACCAGTAGTAATTTATTTAAACATATATATTTAGGCATCACCTATTAAGGCGCACAAGGCCCGTTTATAATCACCAGAAGTTTCGGACTGAAAATAAGAAGGAAAATAAATTACAATGCAGTTTTTAATATTCCACACAACAATTACCTTAATGGCACTAACTAAAGTGCGATTATAGATCCGCTCAAATTCATCTTTAATATTATTCAAATCTATTTCAGATCGCGAAATAATAATACGTATTAGAGTTGTGTCTTCAGTTCCAGCACCGGACATGGCGTTGTACAGGCGATTAGCAAAGAAGGCAGCTGGTGATTGAACACATTCAACTGAAAAAAAAAACAATAAATAATTATGAAATTCGAAAATAGAAAAACTATGGTATTTTAATACTACACTTTGCCATTAAACTTTTATAAAATTAAAAAAAAATGTGTTTATCAGATTCTGGTGATCGATTTGAGAACAAATATATAAAATTCGAAATTAAATTTATCGATATATTTTCTATGTCCTTTGGAAAATCTAAACGTCGGCTTTTTAGTATAATTTTCTGCAGGAAAATTCCCAAAATGTACATATTCTACTTATCGTACATATATTCTACCTAAACCGTTCGCGAACATTTTATACGCAGGAGTATTATTCTCATCTATGAATTACTCTAGCATTCTCTACAGAGTAACAAATTGTGGACCCGAAAAGTCAAATTACTGTCATCTACTTACTAAATATTCATTAAAAAATGAATATTTTCTGCATAGCAATCTTTAGCCGGTAATTATAATTTTAGAAGAAATATTTGCCACATAACTAAAATATCAGGGGTATTGTTATATTTTAGATATAACTAAATGTAGACGGATATATCCAATTATCAATACAAAACTTCCTTGGTATAGTGGTAATGTATGTTTAAAATTTTATAGTTCTATCCTTTATTCTTTTCAAGATTCTTACTCTTATCAAGATTTTACTTTGTAGGGTCTCCGACGAATCTTTCAAAACCAAATGTTGTCGTAAGGAAATAAAAAATTTCGCCGAATATGTCTGAGATGATATAGAATAAAAAACGAAGTCAGAGAACTATGAATACTAGTCATATGTTTTAAATACTGTGACCACTTTCGATTATTATAACCCTCGATCTAGATGGCAACGCTAGGACATTTGTATTGAAAACCCTAGAATTATATACTGTATTATTAATGCTAATATTTCAATCATCAACATGTATAAAAAAATACTTACCAATAGCCATCATAGCTTCATGCATCTCACCACTCATTTCATGTTTAATAGCCTGTTCCAATGTCTGACCCGACAATTCTTTGTATTCATCGAAAACCAAACGCAGTTGGGCAAAGCTACCATGAGCTAAAATGCGATTAAACACCTCTTCATCGGTACCCAATTTAGCTTCACCAGCATTATACAACTGTTCAGCCTGCTCCTTGGCCTTTTCAGGATCCACTGTACCCACTGGATCTCTCACCCCGGTAATAATCAATGTCAATAAACGACGAAAATGTCCATCTGTTTCACTACACAAATGTTCTGCCAGCGGACGATCATACATATCTTCGTAACATTTAACAATTTCCGCCATTTCTTCATTGGATTTGGTGCATAGAATTTCCACCAATGTACTTTCATCGGTACCCATACCTTCCATAGCTTTATGTAATTGTTTGCATAAATATTCCACGGGGGGCATCATAAGGCCCACAATGACATCTTCAAATTTACCACCCAATTCACTTTTTAAATCTTCAATCAAATCACGACCATATTCACGTAAAAATTGTTCTTTTATCAGCTGGCGTTGGGCATTCGACCTGGCTGTGAGAATGTCAATGATGGCCTGTTCATCGGTGCCAAAACCTTTCATGGCACTACGTAATGCAGCAGCATCGGCTTCGGCATCAAAGGGATTGGCTGGGAACACAGAAGGAATTGGCTAAATGGGAATAAAATACAAAACATGAGATAATCTCCATTTTCTATATTTAATATTAAAACTTACTGTGTAATCCATGATTCAGAGTATTTTTTCTTAATAGTTTTTATTAAATACGCTTGAGTGACGTAGTACTCTTTACTGTAACTATAAATAATTGTACTTTCTTTTTTGTTGGTTTGTCGACCGACTTATACGTCGCCCCTTAAATTCTGTTGGATTGTATACGTGTGTGTTGCGTTGTTGTTTATGCTTGCTACACCTCTCGGCTACTACTTCCGAAACGCCTGTATGTTGTTTGTCAACAATTCAACTACTAACTAAAAGAGTATGAGCGCGATTAACAAGAGCGGAATTAATTAATAATTTTTCTTCCAGACATTTGTTTTGTTCGCCATTTTCGTTTGGAATGTGTGAAGGTACCATACTGACGGAATTTTTATAGAGGAACTGGCATCACATCAGCCGTTACATTTTGAAAATATTTTTTTTGTATCATTGAATGAAATTTTGGTTTTCCCAATATTCTGAATTGAATATTCACCCGCAACTCTATGTCTTCTCGATGAAAGGGACATTTCATTTGCAATACTTTGAAATATTTGTCGGATACACTATAAAATATAAATATTCTTCATCAAAATAAAATTCTATGTCATTTTAGCTACGTCTTCTTGTTTATCTGTTGAAATCACGATAGAGCATGCTATATTTAAGATAGAATTTTGAAGTGTTGCACATACATTGTTACTACATCTAGGATCTAGGTGTTTAAAATGGTAAATATCAATCCACGTTTTAATATAGCCCCTAAATGTAACGAGTTTTCAAACTAACGGGCTATAATTTGAAATTCAGAAACCTTGAAAAACATAACTTTATGCCCATGTTTTGACATGACCCCCGATATTATATTCTCATTATCTCTCATATAGCATAAACATTAAAATGTTGGTAACGTTTCATTCGATATCAATAAGGTAGTGTCCATTTAAATGGCTTTCCCTTCCCTAGTTTCCTTAACATCAATTTGGGTAACTTCCAAATAAAAAAAAAACTCCAACAACAAAAAATGTAAGGTTAGACCAGACAAAACCGTCGTGTTACCTGATAAAACACCCGAACGACACACGCAAGGACTTGAAGCGCTGGCTGACTTTTGATAGCAACCACCTTGGAAATTGTGAGTCAACATAAAATATGAAATTCCGGATTTAGATTAGGCAATTGTACTACAAGAATTAACAAATTTAACTATGACGTAAATTTTCCCTTATAATATCGAAAAAATGTAAACATTAATAGATTCTTGCAGTTCTGGAACAAATAATCATAGCAGTTGATTACCAATCAATAATCAATTTGACCCAATTTTTATTTTATGTTGACAAATTAAAAGGTAAATGTTTGGGGACGTATTTTTGTATTACCAACAATCCAGAATAAAAAGCTCTTTTACCAATTCTAAAGTACGAGAACGAAAACAAAATAAATAAAAAATATATATTTTTATTTGATATAAATTTTGTACGAGGCACTACATTAATATTGTGTTCCAATTAGCATAAAATATAACAAGAGAATAGACAATATAACATAGAGAATAGACAATACTTGTATACAAATATAGCTGCTGCTTTGAAAAAAGGGAAAATACGTAAGATTTTATCTACATTAGGGCCAGTAGTATAAAAGAGAAATTGTTGGCCAAAGAGCTTCGTTTTAATTAGACAGTATTTCAATATATTTATGCACCACCAATTAAGGCACACAGAGCACGTTTGTAATTACCCGATGTTTCCGACTACAAAGAAAGTAATAAAATTTTAAATTAGAATCAAACAAAGTAAAGTAAAAAAATAACATCTAAGTTTACCTTAACAGCACTAACCAGAGTGCGATTGTAAATACGTTCAAATTCTTCTTTAATATTACCCAAATCAATTTCCGAACGTGAAACAATAATGCGTATCAATGTGGTATCGTCGGTGCCCATACCATCCATGGCTTTGAACAGGCGATTGGCAAAGAAGGCCGCCGGAGATTGCACACATTCAACTGTAATTTAGAAAACCATGAAAACTACTTCTTTATACATTGTGCCTATTTTTTGACTCACCTATGGCCATCATTGCCTTATGCAAATCCCCACTCATTTCATGTTTAATAGCCTGTTCCAATGTCTGACCCGACAATTCCTTGTATTCGTCGAAAACCAAACGCAGCTGGGTAAAGCTACCGTGAGCTAAAATACGATTGAACACCTCTTCATCAGTACCCAATTTAGCCTCACCAGCATTATACAACTGCTCAGCTTGTTCCTTGGCTTTTTCAGGATCTACTTTACCCACTGGGTCTCTCACCCCGGTAATAATTAATGTCAATAAACGACGAAAATGTCCATCTGTTTCACTACACAAATGTTCGGCCAGCGGACGATCATACATATCTTCGTAACATTTTACAATTTCCGACATTTCTTCATTGGATTTGGTGCATAGAATTTCCACCAAGGTACTTTCATCGGTACCCATACCTTCCATAGCTTTATGTAATTGTTTGCATAAATATTCAACTGGAGGCATCATAAGACCCACAATGACATCTTCAAATTTACCACCCAATTCACTTTTTAAATCTTCAATCAAATCACGACCAAATTCATGTAAAAACTGCTCTTTAATCAACTGGCGTTGGGCATTCGACCGGGCGGTGAGAATATCGATGATGGCCTGCTCATCGGTGCCAAAACCTTTCATGGCACTACGTAAAGCGGCAGCATCGGCTACAGCATCAAAGGGATTGGCTGGGACCACAGAAGGTATTGGCTAATGGGAATACAGTACAAAACATAAGATGATCTTCATTTCCTGTATTTAATATTAAAACTTACTGTGTAATCCATGATTCAGAGTATTTCTGGTTAATAATTTTAATTAATTACCCTTGAGTGACGTCTTACTACGTACTCTAACTATAAACAATTATACTTTCTTTTTTGTTTGCTTGTCGACTTATACGTCGCACCATAAATTCTATTGGGTTGTATACGTGTATGTTGCGTTGTTGTTTATACTTGCTACGCTTCTCGTCTACTACTCCGAAACACCTGTAGGTTGTTTGTCAACAATTCAACTACTAAATAAAAGAGCACGATCGTGTTTACCAAGAGCGAAATTAATTAATATTTTTTTTCCAGAAATTTGTTTTGTTCTACCTCTTCGTTTGGAATGTGTAAAGGTACCATACTGACGGAATTTTTATAGAGGAACTGGCATCACATAAGCCGTTACATTTTGAAAATGTATTCTGTTGAATGCAGAAGCAATTTGCAAAATATTTTTTTTAATTTGAAATGTTTTAAAATGTGTAGCTTGTATATGCAAAGGTCGGACCGAATTGGGTAATCTATTAACTTAATTTGTAATGTATACGTTTTCAAAATGTTTATACTTTGTGGAGGAGGTACCGGAAGAAGTACACAATCTGTTAGGTTGATGACAGATTGAGGCACAAAACTGTCAGCAATGTCGAATTTCGGTATAATACTAAATACCAGAAAGTTTTAGGGAACATTTTCAATATACCAAAAGGTGTTATTTTAGGAGAACAGTTAGCCATTAAAATAAAAAAGTTATATTTCAAATAGACTTAATACTAACTAAAAATCTTTTTAACTAAAAATCCTAATTCAAAAAAACTTCCTTTGGAGGTTATAAACTAAATATCATTCTTTTATATTTACATTATTACTACATTTTATTCATTTTGTATGCCAAATAATTTCAATATTTACAAGAAAGAGCAAATCTATCTTCAAAGATTGAATTTTTACTGGTTAAAGAACGGATTTAAATGTAATATTCTCCTTGCTGGATACTTCCCGAACGTAGTAAAAACATTGATGCTATATTCCACTTACCGACTCTTATAATTTATTGGATAATGTTACTATAATATACATTGTTTCCCCTTATAACCATAGGTAAGCACCTTGGCTAAAATTACCCTATGCATACCTATAAAATGTATTGATAGAGGGTCTGCTTTCAGATTTGCCCTGCGCATCTCAACACATTCCTTGGCCTTCAGTGCCATTTCCAGATAGGTATATAAATTTGTCTCCATGGGGTTCAATCTTAACATATGTCCTGCTTTAAAATTAGCCTAAAAAATTGAATTTTGATTTGATATGAATTTTGTACGAGGCACTACATTTATTTTGTGTTCTAATTGGAATAAAATATAACACATAGATTTGACAATATAACATGAACAAATAACACAACGCACGTTAATACTTGCATACGAATAAAGCTGCTTTGAAAAAAGGAAAAAACGTAAGATTCCATCTACAATAAGGCCATTAGTATAAAAAAGGAGTTTTTGGCCAAAGAGATTCGTTGTTATTAGTAATTATTGTACAAATTTATGCACCACCAATTAAGGCACACAGGGCACGTTTGTAATCACCCGATGTTTCCGACTACAAAGAAAATAATAAAATTTTAAATTAGAATAAAAAAGTAAAAAAAAAAACATCTAATTTTACCTTAACAGCACTGACCAGAGTGCGATTGTAAATACGTTCAAATTCTTCTTTAATATTACCCAAATCAATTTCCGAACGTGAAACTATAATGCGTATCAATGTGGTATCATCGGTGCCCATACCATCCATGGCTTTGAACAGGCGATTGGCAAAGAAGGCCGGTGGAGATTGTACACATTCAACTGAAATTTAGAAAACACTGAAGAATTTCTCTTTATACATTGTGCCCACATTTCTACTCACCTATGGCCATCATTGCCTCATGCAACTCTCCACTCATTTCATGTTTGATGGCCTGTTCAATTGTCTGTCCCGACAATTGTTTGTATTCCTCAAAAACCAAACGCAGTTGGGCAAAGCTACCATGTGCCAGAATGCGATTGAACACTTCTTCATCGGTACCCAATTTGGCTTCACCAGCATTGTACAATTGTTCAGCTTGTTCCTTAGCTTTATCGGGATCTACTGTACCGACGGGATCTCTAACACCTGTTACAATTAATGTTAACAAACGACGAAAATGACCCGACGTTTCGCTACACATATGTTCGGCCAATGGACGATCATACATATCTTCATAGCACTTCACAATTTCCGCCATTTCTTCATTCGATTTGGTGCAGAGTATTTCCACCAGAGCACTTTCATTCGTACCCATACCGGCCATAGCTTTATGCAATTGCTTGCACAAATATTGTACTGGGGTCATCATCAGGGCAATGATAACATCTTCAAATTTACCACCCAATTCACTTTTTAAATCTTCGATCAAATCACGGCCATATTCACGCAAGAAATTCTCCTTTATCAGTTGGCGTTGGGCATTAGACCGTGCTGTTAATATGTCAATAATGGCCTGTTCATCGGTGCCGAAACCTTTCATGGCTGTTCGCAATGCCACCGTATCAGCTTCGACATCTAAGGGTTCGGCTGGTACAACAGTTGGGATGGGCTGTGGCGGAGAAAATCAATAATTTCAACTTAATAATAAATGCCGAATAATTATTCAGAAAGTACTTACATCATAATCCATATTGAAGGGTTTTTCGTGTCAATTAGAGCGTTTCAATGAATGAATTACCAAGGTGTTTGACGATAAACAGACCTGTAAAAAGCAAACAAATGTGAGGTGTACTTTCTTTCCGCTTCAAACTTTCGAAGTACCTGCTGGCGTCTCTAAGTTAGTAAGTTAGTAGTACGTATAGCGTTTTACCCGTATCTAGTTTGTTGTTATAGTCTTTTCTGTTTATTCTACTTTCAATACTTTCATTGCAGAGTTGCCATATTAAGTCTGCAAGAGAATGTATTGAAAACAGATGATTTGAGGCGGGCATGAATGTTGATGACCGTTAAAATAAGCAACATATTTAAAATATTTTAAAGGTTTTAAAACATCTATGGTATAACATATCTTTTTTTGCAACAAAAATCAAGAGAATTAATGGAAAAAATTAATGAAAAAAAATTTCACTGAAAATTGGAAATATTTATATCATTTTTTAAGATAAATCGGAAACAGCGCTATATTTGCGCAATTTTCTTTAGCATTGTTATATAGATAAAGAATTATAAATCATAATAAAAGGCATACCCATGGTACAATTATAAAAGGTAACAGCAAATCCCAGCTGATTTGATTCCAACGTAATACTAGTGTCAATATGAATTTGACAAATTATGTTTTTAAAAAATCACCCAACAGGAAAATTGGGAAATACAATTTGAAAATATATCTGCTCCCGTATTCAATTTACTCAATCTGCCTGCTGGGAAAGTTTGAGGAAGCAAATCTTTCTTGAAGGAATAACTCGATATTCCCAGCATTGTCATATGTGTTACACATATATATGGCAATGGCTCAATTAAAGGAAAGACGTGGAAGCGATAGAAATATAAATTTGATAGATTTTCATTCATGTTTTTCAATTTTTATTTTGAGGATTCGAAAATATTCCATTTTCAAAATAAAAATAATTTGATGATAATTTGTCTGTTTGTTTACATTTTTCTGTCAAATGAGTTGACACTAGTAGAACTTACAACAACAAATTTCCATGTGGTTGTTGTATCGTTTTTTGTACAACAACACTTGCTGTTACCTTTTATTATTATACCATGAGGCATACCATAGGCATACTATTTTCAGAACATTTTTGACAAACTTCCCTGTTGCCCAATTCTGATTTTTTATGGATGGATTTTATTTAATCCGAAATGGAAAAAGTTCCGGTTCTGGGCGTGGGTGTGGATTACAATTGAAAACTGCCTAACTAACTAGCTCATGATATACTTTGATGTGTACCACCAGAATTAATTTATAGATCAAAAATCCCGACGAAGTTGTTCAGGCATGCCTATTTAAATCGCATTGTATTACTCGTAGATGACAATGTTGAAACCACCTTTTCTACAAGTCGTATTCTTCAATAGCAGGCAAACAAAGTCGGTTATCATATGACCATAGTTCTCCGAATTCTAGTAGTTCCATAATCGTTTTCGAATAAATAAATTCGAATCATACCTTCGGACAAAAGAGGGATCTCAGACTCACCAAGTGGAAATGTGCTTAATCTCTGACGAATATTTTGCCGCCCACAACTTTTTCACATATCTACGACTTTTTTAATGGTCAGCTGGTTTCAGTTTTTGCGTGAGTTGGACTTTATATCGACGTAAGTGTAGACTTAAATGCAAAGTGCCTTATAATCTTCCGCAAGACAGTCCTAATTCCTGAGAACGATGAGGAATCGACACATTCGGGTTTTGGGTACTGAGATATTTTCAGCGGAAAAAACGAAGCTATTATGCAAATTTGCAGCCACTACAGTATCTTCAAATTTCTTGCGTTGTTGGACATAATCTCCTCTATAAAATCTCCATATTAAAGTCCCCTCCAGTCGTAGTTATTTTAATGGTCATAGGCACATTTTCTAACCGAAATAACCGTAATTTTGCATTCAAACTTGTTTTGCAAACCCCCTCATATGAAGACTTCCATAGTAATCTCTCGACAGCGTAATCCATTCACCGAAACTGTTGATCCAACTTTATTTTCTAAAAAAGTTTCGTCTTTGTCTGAGCCCCGGATGCGACAATTTTGTTGGGAGACGTAGCTTTAGAGGTAAAATGTGCATTATCACTTAAGATAATTTTTCTTGTGTTTGAAGAACTTTATAAACCTTAAGTCCCAAGTCTTTATGCAGAATACGGTGTAATGACTTTTGTGGGACGTCCAATTCTATAGAGCGATGCTGTATGGGCAATCGTGGGGCTTCTTTAACACGTTGGATAATATTCTCAGTTATTCTTAACATTACTTATTTGTTCCGGAGGTAGTTTGGCAGTTCCTACCGGACGCGTCTCAAGGTAGCGGATAGGAGGAAGGTGGATGATCACACTAACTTATTACAGTTAGTGAAAACTGAAGGTTATGGGACCAACATCAGTTGTTTGTCCCCGCGAACCAAAACTGGATATGGGGGTGTTTCCTTAAAACAAAAGAAGAAAGTAAGAAGATAGATCATGTTACGGAGTCGGTCTGAATACCTGAAATAAGAGTAGTCATGTGAAACTATGATACCAGACAGGAACTCATGGGATAGCGGAACACTAGCAAACATGTCCCCTGGTAACTGTTGTCTGACAGGTGGCTACAAGCTAATAGGAAAGTCGGAACTGGGATTTTTAACTAAACAATTGAAAACCGAAATTTCAGTGCAAACTTTGGACAGAATATATTAGGTTGGGGAAAAAGAAATCCATTATGAAAATGTCGATAAAATCGGAGAAATGATCGAAGTTGATTGGCATGTTAGCAGTCGAAACATCTCCCACGTGCTAAAAATCTACCATAAAACCTTTTTAAACCACTTACAAAGCTGGATTCAAAAAGAAGCTCGATGTTTGGGTTAACAGAAAAAATAAGACGTATCGAATTTGACATTTTGAATATAAAAGAATCAACGATTGTCTTTGTGATTAGAATAGAAATAAAAGGAAATAAAATAGCAAATATACTAGCTAGAATTGCTACCTACTGACATACAATAGATGTAAATACTACCAAACCTTTTAGTGCAAAGCGTCTAGAACTGACGTCATGGGTAACGGAAACTCAAAAAATGTTGTAAAAGAAAAACACAAAAATGTTTTGGGGAGACCCATATGGATATAAGACAAAGCAACCCTTAAGGTAAAAAAAAATCAGCAGACTGGCCGGTATTCCTATAGGACATAACAGCCTTCAGGCCCACTTACACAAGATTGGTTGCAAGGGAAGCAAATGTGTGGAGAAGACCCAGCCTTTTCAAGCTTCCAAACCCAAATTTTAGGAAGTGACACCTTTCTTGAAAAAGCCGGCTTAAGTGGGTGTGAATGGAATAAACTGAGGACTTCACTAACAAAACAGAATTCCTTGAAGTTTAGGAAAACCAAATCAAACCAGTAAGGAAAGTAGTAAAGTCGTACTGGCCCGACTATATGATATCCTTCACCACTTTGGGTATATTCTACATATGTCTCCCAACAGACTCCGCCTTTTCGAAAGAACATTGGCATGAAATTGAACAAACTTGAATATGTGATCTGGAACCTATGCTAAATTTCATTTCATTTGGACAAGTTTAGAGTCGTTTGCGTTCAATGGGATAAATTTGCCCCCGATTTTATTTACATAAATTTAATCTCAATCAGATACATGTTTGTAATATATATGGAAGCTGTGTCCGCCAATTAATATCATTCTACTCTCAATATGATACGTTTCGTGTCAACCGGTGTAACATTTACCTAAAAACCAACGAAAATACAAATGGGAGCTATATCTAAATCTGAAGCGATTTCAATAAAATTGTATGTCAATCGTACAAACTTTGGGAAATTTGGTGTACACTATACATAAAATCGATGGAAAATATAAATGGGGGCTATATCTAAATCTGAACCGATTTTCACACATCATTCAGTTAAAATCTGACGAAAATATATATGCGAACTCTATCTAAATCTGAACCAGTTTTTACGAAGCTTGGCAGACATCATTCTAGACTCAAATTAGTACGCTATGCCGAATTTCGTGCAAATCGATGGATATAAAGGGACATTGGTGCACCATTTACATATAATCGGACGAAAATATACATGGAAGCTATATCTAAATCTGAACCGATTTTCTCGAAACTTGACGCACATCATTCCAGACACAATTTAGTACACTATGAACAATTTCGTGCAAATTGAAAGATATATAGGGGCTAAATCTAAACCGATTTTCTTCAATTTCAATAGGGTTCGTCCTTGGACCAAATAAGTGAACTGTGCCAAATTTCATCCAAATCGGATCATAAATGCGACATGTACTTTTTGTTAAAATTTAACATAGATAGACGGACGGACATGCATAAATTGACTCAGAAAGTGATTCTATGCATGTTATCAAAAGGAACCATGTGTCTATTTCGTTTCTTTTTGCCTGTTACAATCATATGCACAAATAAATAATATCCTGTACCACAGTGTGGTGAAGGGTATACAAATTATAGAGCGCACAACAGACCAACCACAGGCTACAGTGTATGTCCTAATATTGGACATGTGGTGGTGTAAACCACCCCTATTTCCAACCTGACCTGAGCTACTAATTTGTTGCAACAACTTTAAATTTTCCACCAATTTATTTATGCAATTCGACATAGTAATAAGTTTTATCAAAATGTATATAAAGCTTCATAATAGTTAATTTATCATAAATAGGTAATTTATTCACTTTTTAAAGAACATAACATATAAACACAAAAATTTGTTTTGAAATTTAGTTTTAACCGATTTTTAGTTAATGGTTCGCTCCAAAGCTCCAAAATATGACCGATTTAGTGTAGACTAACGTGTGCCAAGTTTTACTGAAATCGGTTCAGATTTAGATATAGCTCTCACATATAGTTCCATCCGATTTTCAGTTAATGGTTCACCAAAGCTGCAAAATATTGCCGATTTGCACAAAATTTAGCACAACGAAGTTGGTATAACCTGCTGTGTGGAAAT